TACGCGGCTGGGCCTATTAACCGTGGGCTTAATAACCGGCGATTACTGTATAATGACAAGTAGTCTAGTCAATTGAAATACACCCATTATCTGGGTGTTACACTAACGCTAAAGTTGTAGCATTTATAAGACACTTGATGTTACTCACACTCTGCCCACGTTTCTTCCTATGAACGGCGGTTACAACTCTCAAATACTTTGTTTGAGGGGACGTACTGAGAATTGTTCCTCAGATTAACCCGGTTTCTAGTAAATTTTAATCAGTTTCCGCATGCAAAGTTCCGAGCGGTCAATAATCAAAAAGCCTTAAGGCACAAACTACCGCTGCAACGAGCAATAAAGCGGAGTTCCGGCGAAAACATGGAACAAATAAATCTTCGACTGCAGATAAGTAATAAGGAGTGGATAGGATATTTTTACCAGTGACGGCGCGCTTACCAACTGACAGTTCGGTCTACCCACGCCGCTACGTAGCATGGCGTGAGGATCGGCCAACACGCCCTGACTGTCAGGTCACGCACCAGCCACTTAACACGCAACACAAACTGGGCTGATGGGTCTGGTAAAGCGCTAGTTCGTAGTGCTAAAAAAGCAGGCTGTGCAAGAGAAGTGGGGAACACAACTTGCGTTTCGGTAGAGGTTCATTTGAGAGTGCTAAAAGATGCAATTGCTTCAGCGTAATATTAGATAGCGGAATAGAGGCCAAATGCGGAAAAATTAGGGACTACCGGGTCCAAATCGTGACGAATAGCCTGCATGAGCTGCGTAGTCCTCGCATCCGCAGCAGGGGATTTCTCGACCAATCCTGAAGTCTCACTAGTTATAGGAGGCGGAAGTCCCTCCTCGTCGCGACAGCCTTATCTCTCGAATGACTGTAACTGTTGGATATTATTGTTAGTTTTCTCATTCACTCGCATTAGTTCATCAAGCGTGGTTTCCTTTTCCTTAGTGCTTCCTAATTTGGGAGCTCTGAGAGGTCCGACGTAGGTCTCCAGTCTTCGTTGGAGGTCCTGGAGACGGTCAGCAGTGGTGGGCAACTGTCTCAACGAAGAGCAGAAACTTCCGCCTCTTGTAACTGGCGAGAATCAAGGATTGGCCCAGAAACCCCTGCAAGGACTAGGCAGCTAGCTCATGCCATTCGTCGCGATCCGAACCAGGTAGTCCCTGCATTCCCACCTTTGAGGGGTTGGTTCGGGATTTAGCCTGTACTCCGACAGAGGATCTTACGTGTATCAACTAAAAACTCAGCCACAAGCGTTTTGCCGATTTTTTGCCGCTGCATGACACAGCTGCATGGGACTCGATTCGTCAGCTGCGAACTTGAGGTAAGTCCTTCGGAACAAACCCCTTCAGACTCGGTCTGAAAACTGATATTCATATTTGAGCTGAAATCTATCAGTTACTGTGGAATAACCGCATAATATTCACAAGCTGCAAGAAGTATATCAATTCGCAATTATTTACCATACGCTAGAATTAAAATACCTTGATTATTTACAGTTAACAATCATTGTGGAGAAATGCACATACCGGTAAACAAACTGAGCAGCCCTTGCAGCAGCCCGGAATCTAACTAGGCTGGGATGCACATCCAGAGGCCAGGGACTATCTGTGTCATTCTCGGCCGCAATCAGACGAGAGGAGGTGCCCATTAGGAGGCCACGGCCCAGACTCGCGGTGACCACCTGTTCGGAGTGCTGAAAGTCGCCAAGTAGGAGGAGGAGATAGCGCTTCTGGTATACCAAGGCGCGACGGTAGGACTCCATGCGCAGACACCGCGCTGACATATGACGAAACTAGGGGGTGGGTAAAAGAAAGAGACGTAATTTAACATCACAGAGACAGGGAGGTAAAACAAAGT